TTTTTTGCCGTTTCCGGTCGCCGTTTTGTTGCCGTTTCCATCTTCAAGGGACATTTTTTTGGAAACGGTGAAAAAACGGCCCACCAGAAATTAGATTCGCCATTGTGGAATGTTTCACACGGTTTGCGCGTTTCTAAAAAAATAGACTCGGTATCGTTTTCGTGTCTATTTTTATAGAAATTCAGCTCCGGCCCCAACGTGGCTTTAATTCTCATGTCCATGTCGTGTCTACCCGTGTCTAGATGCATTGGTGTCTATTCGTGTCTAACGTGTCTAATTTGAACGTGTCTATTCGTGTCTATTTTCAATGATTTCGACGTGTTCGCGTCTATTACTTCCGTGTCTATTTTTCAAAGTGCGTGTCTATTTTTCCCAAGAGTACCGTTTGTTCAACAAGATGTGGTGGCGCCCAATTTCGAATTTCCAAAGACGGTCCAAGAGGGCCCCGAGTCGCCGAACGATCGGTCCAAGACGCCCAAGATGGCATCCAGACGGCCCAATGCGGCCTCCAAGACGCCCCAAGGCCTGCGGCAGCATTCCAAATCCAGTTAGTTCACGTAAGTTTTGAAGGATTTGGGCGTTCTCGCTTCTTCGGCTTACGCTCCAAGACGGCCCATGAGGCCCCAAAGATCGCCCCAAGACGGCCCAAGAAGCCTCCAAGAGGGCCCCAAAACAGCCCAAGAGGGCCCCAAGACGGCTCCAAGAGGCGGCCCAAACGGGGCTTCGAGGAAACCCCAAGCGGCTTCCAAGAGGCCCCCTTCTCCTGCCTCTCATCCACGCCAGGACGGCGTCCTCTGCATTTCCCGCCCCCTTCCCATTTCCGTTCGGGTCCACCGTTTGGGCCACCTCTCAATCCTGAGCCCTCCTATTCCTCACCGTTCCTCCGCTCCCCTCCACGCCTTCCGCACCTCCTCCACAATCCTCCCACCACCCTCCTCCTGGCTCCTCACATCCTTCCCCACGTATTCGCACTCCTCCCAACTCATCTGCGTTCCTCCGAGTCCTCGCTCATCCTCACTCTCTCCGCTCTTCCGTGATCCCCCGCACTCCGCCTCGTTTTTCCGCTTTCTTCCGCGCTCGCTCTACCACCCAATGGTTCATCAACACCCCAGTGCACGCCGCGCGCTCCCTCCCATTCCTGTTCACGGCTCCTCCTCCACACTCCCCTCATCTTCTCCGCGTTTTTTCCCCCAACGATTCCGCAGCCTCCGCGCTCCCCCTAGATCTCTCGTGTGATTCCAAAGCGTTTCAATGTGTGATTCTCAGCCCCCCCCAATTCGCCCGTTTATCATGCTCATTGTTTCTGCACTCCTTTCAACTCCGCTGAATTCCAATCCCATCCTCCACGTTATTCCACATTCTCCCGTCCCGACTCCCCCCCGTATGCCGTGTCTATTTTTGCCACACCGTGTCTAGTTGTTTCGGGCTCCTTTTGCGCGTAGATTCGTCGCGTGACTATTCGTGTCTGATCATGTCTATTCGTATCTATTTATGAGCCGTGTCTATTACCGTGTCTATTTATGACGTTCGTGTCTATGTTTGATTAACTGTCGTGTCTATTTCAATGAATTCGTGTCTATTTCAGAAGTGCCTATTCGTGTTTATTTTTCTTATACAAACCATATGTTTTACATTGCGCGCAGCGCGAATGTATAGACACGACTAGAAATAGAAACTGTGCAACAGTATCACGGAAAACGAGAGCGAAAATAGACGCCCTCGTCTTGTAGGCTAGGGTAACGGCCCTGCCGTTTCCGGGGCCCACAAAGCCCAGGGCCCCTTCGAGAGTCTCTACCCGCTCCTCCCGGCCGACGGCCCCCCCCCTGGAGACGCGAGGCCGGCGCTGCCCCGACGGGGGCGGCGCCGCGCGCGGGCACCGCAAACGGAGGCGGGGGGGCGCGGCGCCGCTCCGCGCGGAGCAGCTCCGTGTCGGCGCTTCCCTCGCGGCCCCGATGCTGACGTTGCATCTTCGGGGGGCCTCGCCTGTCCCCAAAAGTGGTGTCTTTTGTTGTACCCTGCGCGGGCTCGATGCGGACTCGGCGCGGACCTGGCGTTAACCCGACGCGGATTCGACACGGATTCGACACGGATTCGACGCGGATAGGGCCGCGACGGGACAGACAAGGTCCCCCGAGGCTGCAACATAACGATGCAGAAGCGGGAGCAGCAGGAGGGGCCATGGTTGGAGGCTTCGAAATTGGCACCAACACCAGAACAGGGGGGCGCGCCCACCGGGGGAAGAGGATCACAGATGTCGGTGTTGGTGGCAACATTTCGGCCGCCTAGGAAGCCAGAGTATTGCCACCAGCACCGAGATCGGGATCATCTCTCCTCGGTTGAGGCACGCCGCCAATTTTGGTGTCTGGGCCTGCCACATGGGCCAGGGGTCAACCCGAGCGGTGTCCTGGCGATCTCGTGGGCCGTCCTCGTGCCGACTTCGTTTGGCAGCAGCGACGACAAGAGTCGGGGTGGACAGAACCCCCAACAGTGACACGTCGATTAGTGAATTGTCCGTTTTCGGTTCTCGAGAGGGCGCCGTGGCCGTTATTTTCCAGGCCTGCGCCCGCCAGGTTTGGGCCTCAGGTCGTTTTCACTAAACCACGTTTTACTAAAGGGGGGTCTGTCCATCCCCGAAAGAGCCGACAAGATGGTATGGGAGGCTCCCATGAATCGCCACCCAACACAGGGCGTTGTCTTACGCATTGTTTTGTCGATCGGCGCGGGCCCTCGCACACCCCCTCCCCGCCCCCCCTGGAGTATCTCTGGGCTGTTTCCGGCGCCTGCTTCGAGCAGGTGGAGCCTCTCCCCCATAAGACGCACTGCTGCAAGCAGTCGCGTTACGGCCCGGATGGGTAGGTCGACCTTGCCAGATCAAGGGGACCATTGTGTCCCGTGCCTCGCGACCCATGCATCGTACACTCATGTGGCAATGTGGCCCTCGGAAGGGTCTTCTGTCCTCTCGCGTGCCTCTCCAATCAAGCCCGACTGCACGCAGGCGGAGCCAGACCCCCCCCCTTCCGCCCAGTGCGGGAACGCCGAATCGGAACACGCTGGCGATGGAGGCGGAGGGGCCCAGGCAGGACTTGGCATCGCTCGGACGTGTGCATTTTTCCTTCGGCGAGGGCCATCGAGGAGCATCCTTGATCATTTGGCGAAAAAAACCACGCACGAAACCGAAAAAACACAGGGAATGGACGTCCGAGCGATGGCGAGGGGGGGGCGCTTTCCCTCGAAGAGCTTGACGACTGCTCGCCCGTCGACGTGTGCCGGCGGCGAGCGAGGGGGGGGGGTGAGAATCGAAGAACAAGAAAAATAAGTAGCATACCTTTACTCTTTCGGGGCCTCGCGCAGAGTCCTTTGATCCGCGCTGGGCCCCCCTGGCGGCGCCTCTGGCGCAGCCCCTGGCGCGCTCCGCGCGCCACGGAAGGGGGTCCCAGCGCAGATCCAAGAAGTCTGCGCGGAGCGCCAAAAGTTTATGCTTATGGCATTTGTTTCTAGACGTGACAAGGTCAGGAGGAAAAGAAACACACAGACACAATTAATCGTCGAGTCCCAGGAAAAGATGGGAAAATATGGGAAGTGGGGGGGAAGACAAAAATCCAGAAAATATGAGAAAATATGGGGAATCATTTTATTTGTGTGTATTTATTTGTGTGTCCCTGGGCCCCTTCACAAGGAGAAGACCCTCTCAGAAGGCGGCAGGGCTCCTCAGAAGCCCTCGGGAGTCTTCTGTGTCTTCGGGGGAGGCTTTAAGAGAGAGTCGCAGAAGGCCGAGGAACCTCCGAGCCTCTTGGGAAGGTCCGCCCCTCCTCACCTCCCCCCAGGGCGCGTCGCCTTGTGTGGGGATCAAGCCAGATGCAGCAAGGTAAGTCCAGGGATGCACAAGGGAATTTGGAGCAATCGGCGGCCGTTCCGGCGCGAGTCAAGGGAAGGCAGAGGTCGGCAAACCTTGCACGGGCTTCGCAGGGCCATCCTCGCCCCCCGTCGTCTTCGCGCCGTCTGCGGGTTCTCGGGCCTTCGGCGGCTCGACCTCGTCCCGAGTCCTGCCTCTTCTTCCTTTTCTTTTTCCTGTTCGTCCTCCTCCTCCTCCTCTTTTTCCTTCTCCTCCTCCTCCTCCTCCTCCTCCTCCTCCTCCCGAGGAGAGGATCAGAATGGGAAGGAGGAGGAGGGGGAGGAGCGGGAGGAGGAGAAGGTGCAGGGGGAACAGGAAGAAGGACCGGAACCCGGGGGGGAGAGCCGAGGGGGGACGAGGGGCCGCGTCCGACGGCGGAGAGGGCGCGCAGGCGCCAGATGCTCGTCCGATGCTGCCCCCGTTCCTGCGGCCCCCCCGCGCCCCGCCGCCGCCCACCCGTCCTGACGAGAGTGATCATCACCGTCGGCACTATCTCGGGGGCGGAAAAGAGGGGGGTGATGACTGGGGGGGGGGGGGTATCATGGCGGGGGCCATGATGTTTCCCCAGATTTCATGGCGCCTCTCCTTGTTTCATTACGTCCCTGGCCCCCCCGCTGGGCCGCGCACATGCCGCCGGTCATGATTTGCACCCACCCTCTTGGACACCCCCCTCTTGGCCGCTCCCGACTATCCAGCCGATCTTGTACGTACCTCCAGCTTCACGACGGAGGCATCCCTCCACCCGTCCCCGCCCACCGCTCCTCCCCAGTCGTCGCCTCTGCTCCTCTTTTTTGTCTTTTCGGATGTCCTCGTCCCTGTGCATGCTTCCCCTTATTATTCAGTCTTCTCGCTGCTCGATCATTGCGTTGTTCATTTGTGTTCCTCCGTCCCTTCCCCTTCCCCTTTTCGATCCCTCATCCATACCGCGTTGTCCTCGGCTGCGTCTTTTTTGTTTCGAAGGATTCATCTATCCGCGTCCCTTACACGGTCGTTTTCTGCCCAGCGTGCACGGTATGATTAGTTCGTTGTTTGGGGTGACTTCGTAATCAGAGAGGGCACAGCGAAGTGCTATGCATGACTTTTGCTTGCAGCGGCTCCGGTGGACAGGATGATATGGGTGCTGACGTACCTGGCATCCTACCAGCTCATCGACTTGTATGTAGGCCACCTGTTCTTCTTTTGATAGCTCGTCGGTAAATATGGATTACGTACACCACTGGGCTAAACGTAGATAGGTGTGCAAGTAACGTTGACGGCGTCTGTCCTCGCTTAGTGCAAGTTGGTTATACGACCGATGTTGGTATGGTGACTGTGTGCTGACTTTTGGGGGATGTGGAAACGTTGATCACAACGCGCTTTCATGGTATGACATATAGGCGCCACGCGTTTTTCATTCGACGCTCGTCGGGGTTGTCTTGCTGAATTGCCCTCGCCATGCGAGCGCCGTGGAGCTCGATCCAGTCACGATGAAGAGCATTGTGTCAGCGCTCCTCGCAGTGGGACGGGAACTCGGCCAGGCATTCTCTTCGTCGCGTTCTTCAATTCCGACTCCGCCGACGCTCGGTTCCTGGAGGCCGGTGGCACGGTAATGGCAAGAGGTGGATGGCAGGGAGTCTTGTCGTTTGTCGAGTCGGTTTCCGTCGCCGTCGTAGGTGCAGTTGCAGGTGGCCCGACATTCTGGGCCTGCACCGAAGACGCCTACAGTGAATCACCGCCGCCCCCCGCTGTTTTAGAAACACCAATGTGGCCAAATGGTGGGCTGACGTCTTGCCAAGCTATTGGAGTATGTGTTCCCGTTACGGAACCCACTGGTGGAACAGGAGGAGGATGAGGATGAGGAGGAGGAGGGCTAGCGTAAACAAACCCAAGAGTCATCACCGATGTTGGAATAAAACCTCCCTCCAAGCTCCCTCTTGAGAGGCCCCTACAAGGATTCTATTCCACTGAGGGAACTGCCTCGTTAGAAGACAACCGTTTGAAGACCCTGAAACATGCCAAAACATTACTCTCGGGACTCCAGCGCCACAGAGCAACATGATTGTTGCGTCTTGACGATCTTGAGTCCCGCCAAAACGTTATTCCTGGGGCTTCAACTCCGCGAATCCACGTAACTGTTAACCCTCACAATCTGGAGTCGTTCCAGAGCACCACTTCTGGTACGCTGACCATGGGAATCCGTGAAACGCTTGATATATTCAAAACGCATGTGCGCGGCACTACAGTCGGGGCCCTGAAGAAGGAACGCTTTTCGTTGGAGAGGGGCTCCGCATTCCTGAAGTGTTTCACAGCTTGCCCCAGGTGTTCCTTCTGTTTTCGATCGGACATCGACGTTGAACTCATGGAAAAAAGGAGCCTCGTTCCTTATTTAGGTCAGAGCGTGAATTACCTACCCCGCTTTCGCTTCCAGGCAAAACCAAGTCATACCACGCGCCTCCTCGTCAAGCGGCCTGACCAGGCCCTCCTAGTTAACGGGCTGGCAGAAAAATCAGAGAAAGCCGCGCGGACCTCCGAGTTTGTGTGTTTATGCCATTGTTTGTCCCCCTAAAGGCGACATCTCGGCTGCGCCATCAAGAAAGAACTCCCAGGTGCAGGCAGGAGGAAGCTCCTGAGATCGATGCAGGCACCCCCGACTGTAGGGCGAGAGCCACGTCTTGAAGAGGCGCCGCCCTCCAGCCGTGCAGCTCCTGCAGATTTTGTTCTGCCACGGCTGTGCGCGGCGCTGCGGCGAGAGCCGCCTCATTGAGAACGACCCGCCGCCCACCTGCGACACTGCTGCCAATGCTCTTGGCACCGCTCGGACGTGTGCATTTTTCCTGGAGTGTCTCTGGGCTGTTTCCGGCGCCTGCTTCGAGCAGGTGGAGCCTCTCCCCCATAGGACGCACTGCTGCAAGCAGTCGCGTTACAGGCGGCCCGGATTGGTAGGCCGACCTTGCCACAGCAAGGGGACCATTGTGTCCCGTGCCTCGCGACCCATGCATCGTACACTCATGTGGCAATGTGGCCCTCGGAAGGGTCTTCTGTCCTCTCGCGTGCCTCTCCAATCAAGCCCGACTGCACGCAGGCGGAGCCAGACCCCCCCCCCCGTCCGCCCAGTGCGGGAACGCCGAATCGGAACACGCTGGCGATGGAGGCGGAGGGGCTTCAGGCAGGACTTGGCACCGCTCGGACGTGTGCATTCTTCCTTCGGCGAGGACCATCGAGGAGCATCCTTGCGCAGTTGGCGGAAAAGCCACGCACGACACCGAACAAAAGCACAGGGAATGGACGTCCGAGCGATGGCCAGAAACGACCCGCCGTGCATCTGCGACACTGTTGCCAAGGTTGGCATCTCCAGGTCGTGAACGGTGAGGAAGCCTCGGGCGGCACGCCCAGCCCGCCCTGTTCGACCGGCCTCGGGAGAAGCTCTTCATCATGATCCTTGCTTCACCTCTCTCTCTCTCTCCGTATATGAATAGATGCATTCCTTCCTTAATTTGTACCGTTATTCTGCCAGCCTCTTCAACGAAAAAATGCCGATGCGATGCCAATCCATTGCTAACCAAAGCCAATGCAATGAATGCCAAGTGGGGAGTCTTTCCTTTCGGTGGATTTCAATAAGAAGCCTTCTGCGGATGATGTCATGACGAATCCTTCCTCGGAGGATTTCGATGGGAATGCTTCAGTGGAGGGTTCCGACCGGAATCCTCCTCTGGAGGATTTCAATAGGAGTCTTTCTTGTGGGGTTTCAATAGGAACTCTTCTTGTGGAGGATTTCAGTTTGAGTCATTCTGCTGAGATAGCCATGAGGACTCGCCAGCGCAATGCTAAAGCAGTGCCAACGCAATGCCAAACCAATGCCAAGGCGACCCCAATCCAATGCCACTGCTATGCCAATAGGGGTAATCCGTTTTGGTAGATGTCAATAAGGACCTTTCGGGGGTTGCAATAGGAATTCCTCTGCGAAGGGAGGCATTGGAACTCGCAGCGCAATGACAACGCAGTGCCATCGCAATGCCAGCGCAATGCCAGCGCAATGCCAATACGATCTCAAACCCGATGCCAATGCAATGTTCTTGGGGGCAATCCTTTATGGTAGATTTCAAAAGGAATCCTTTTTGCGGAGGGTTTCAATAGGAATCCTTCTGCGAAGGGAGGCATTAGGACTCGCCAGCGCAATGCTAAAACAGTGCCAACTCACTACCAAACTAATAACCAATGCCAAGGCGACCCCACCCCAATGCCAATGCTGCGCCAATTGGGGCAATCTTCTCTGGTAGATTTCAATAAGAAGCCTCCTGGGGGTTGCAATGGGAATCCTTCTGCGACGGGAGGCATTGGAAACCGCCAGCGCAGTGCAAGTGCAGTGCCAAAGCAGTGTCAACGCAATGCCAGCGCAATGCCAATGCGATCCCAAATCCGATGCCACTGGGGGCAGTCCTTCGTGGTAGATTATGTTTACATGAATCCTTTTTTTGTGGAGGGCTGCCAGAGGAACCCTTCTGCGAAGGGAGGAATCAGGACCTGCCGGCGCAATGCCGGCGCTGCCACGGCGACCCCGATCCGATGCCAACGTCCTGCCGTTGGGGGCAATCCTTTGCGGTGGCTGTCAATGAAAATCCATATTTGGGGGGTTGCAATCGGACTCCTTCCGCGAAGGGAAGCGTTCGGACTCGCCAGCGCAATGCCAGCGCACTGCCGACGCAATGTGAAACCAATGCCAATTGGGGCATCCTTTCGTGGCGTATTTCAATGAGAGTCTTTCTGGGATGATGCCATGGCGAACTCCTATTCGGAGCATGTCAATCGGAATCCTTATGTGAAGGGCTTCGAATGGAATCCTGTTTTGGAGGATTTCACTTTGAATTCATCTTCCGTGTGTGTTTGTGTGCGTGTGTACGTGTGTGCGTGTGTGCGTGTGTGTGCGTGTGGGTGCGTGCGGGTGCGTGCGTGCGTGCGTGCGTGCGTGCGTGCGTGCGTGTGTGTGTGTATGTGTGTGGTGGGGGGGGGGGGGGCGGTGGGGGGTGGGGGGTGGGGGGTGGGGGGGGGTCGCTAGGCATCCTTCTTGTTGGGGTGGATTAGTAAGAATTTTCCTGTTGAGCGTCCGAGTAGGACTCGCCATCGCAATGCTAACGCAGTACCAACGCAATGCAAAACCAATGCCATGGCAATCCCGTACCAATGCCAATGCAATGCCAATGGGGGAAACCCGTTGTGGTAGATTTCAATAGGAATCCTTTGTGTGGAGGGTTTCAATAAAGAACGCATCCTTTTGCGAACGGAGTAATTAGGACTCGCCAGCGCAATGCCAGAGCAATGCCACAGCAGTGCCAAGGCAATGCTAGCGCAATGCCAAGGCGATCCCTACCCAATGCTAACGCAATGCCAGTTTGGGAATTCCTGTGTGGTAGATGTTATTAGGAATCCTTCAGTAGAGGGCTTCGCATGGAATCGTTTTGTGGAGGATTTCAATATGAACCCTTTGTGTGGAGGGTTTCAATGGGAGTATTTCTTGTAGGGGGTTTCAATGGGAGTCCTTCTGTGGAGGGTTCCATCAGGACTCGCCGACGCATTGCTTGCGAAGTGCCAGCGCAATGCCAACACACTGCAGAGCACAATTCCAGCGCAATACCAAACCATTGGCAAACCAATGCCAATGCAGTGCCAGAGGGGGGATTCGTTTTTGCTGGAAGCATCTCAATAGCACTCCTTCTGCAGATGCTCCCACTATGAACCAATCTGTGGAGGCTTTCAATAGCAATCCTTCTGCGGAGCCAGCACAGCACAATGTTGATCTGTCATTCGTCGTGCGGCGAGCTAAAACACATGCCCCTCCCTCTTCCCCCTCCTCTTCCTTCTCTTCCTTCTGCTCTTCTTCCTCCTCCTCCTCCTCCTCCTCCTCCTCCTCCTCCTCCTCCTTCCCCCCAGAATCAAGCTTTTTGCTTCTCCTGCACCCCCAAAACAAATATCCAGGCGAAGGACCCAACCATACGCAAGTGCGAAAACCGCAGGGCAGGTGGGACGAAGCAAGGGGAATTCCTCATGGGGCCACGAGCCGTGTGAGGGGTGCACCAAACTGGCGCGGGGCCGCCATGCGAACCCTGCCACTGGGGCCTTCGGTGGAGCTCCTATGGGGCCACGAACCGCGTGAGGGGTGCGCCAAAATGGCGCGGGGCCGCCATGCGAACCCTGCCACTGGGGCCTTCGGTGGAGCTCCCTATGGGGCCACGAACCGTGTGAGGGGTGCACCAAACTGGCGCGGGGCCGCCATGCGAACCCTGCCACTGGGGCCTTCGGTGGAACTCCCTATGGGGCCACGAACCGTGTGAGGGGTGCCCCAAAATGGTGCGGGGCCGCCATGCGAACCCTGCCACTGGGGCTTCGGTGGAGCTCCCTATGGGGCCACGAACCGTGTGAGGGGTGCACCAAATGGCGCGGGGCCGCCATGCGAACCCTGCCTCTGGGGCCTTCGGTGGAGCCCCCTATGGGGCCACAAACCGTGCGAGGGGTGCGCCAAAATGGCGCGGGGCCGCCATGCGAACCCTGCCACTGGGGCCTTCGGTGGAGCTCCCTATGGGGCCACGAACCGTGTGAGGG